CAAACAACAGGGTGTGCACCTTATTGCAATTTATTACACTCATACACAAGAAATATAAAACGAATTGAAATCAAATAGGTATCAGAACGTCAAACAATGAAAACGGAATTATCGATTGACCCGCTAGTACACGCTGGACGACATATGAAAAGCTAGAACACATCTAATCGATAATTCGTACACATCTTTCATACTCTGTCGCAGAAGAATGGAAAATCGACAAAGCTTAGTAGATTTTCGATCCAAATCCGTGCAAATGGTTCATGCGGAGGCGTAAAGAAATTGGCCAGGAATGAAGGAACGACTTGAAGCCTATTTATGATGTTGTTTCACATGGTCACCATGTTTGTTACGAAGACCTGCCCGTAGCAGTTCGACTTCGTCCTTAATGGCACACGGTATCGCAGGGGGTGGTGCAGTTACCTGGAAACGAGCAACTTGAAGATCTTTGAAATAGAATTTCGTAATGAATAATATGTGATTCAGGGGAAATGGAGAAAAGATATTGGAGTTCAAAACGGGACTGCCTTTTGCTTTTCGGATTGTCTCGGGTGGATTTATTTCAGCGCAGGAAAAAAAAGTAATACACAAATGGAAAAGGTAGTGCCACTATCGCACACATTGTCCTAGGATCGGGTCCCGGACTGAAAGCCATGCCAACCAAGTTTTCTGCTGCTCCACGGTCGGCTAATACGCTGCTCCACGGTCGGCTAATAAACCAAAAGAAAATTTATCAACGCTATGATATCAAGAACTAAGGGATATAAGAGGGTAGTCGAGAGGAGCGGAAGCACCGCCAATAGGAACATTCTCAATTGTAAGTTATTTTCAAAAATAATGCAGCGATCATAAGTAACACACGAAAAATGGGTTATGATCAGATCACAGGTGAAGCTCATGAAAAAGAACTGCGAAGTTGGCCACAGTTCTGAGGGCGAATCTACTGGTGGTCTAGAGAAACTTCAATGGAACTGTCCAGCCAACGAAATCTAAATCCGTCCAGGATCAAAGTACAGCGAATGAAAAGGGGAAACTGGATAGCAACAAATGAACATAACTGCGGACTCAATGTTGTCACCAATTAGTGAGTATCGCAAATTTTATGTAATTCTGTTAAGTTACCTCCGATGGATCGGGTGCTGGTGATGGAGGCCGTGAATGCTCGTCTTTCTCATCCTCGTCTGGTTTTACATCGTCACCGAACTTTACGTGATGATTATGAACGACTTTCGGTTCCGTCATAATGCCCTTTTTCGTTCCTGGCATTTATTATACTAAACTGAAAGGAATTTTCTTTCAAAAAGCGACCGGATCGGTAATTCACGCGATCAGACGAAATTTCTCTAGAAAAACGGAAATTCCTACTAGAAAGCCGTAAACAGTAACAGAAACAAGCAAAAAAGGAGAAAAGGAGCGATTTCTGCTGATCAAACAAAAATATGGGGTGGAGCCGAAAGCGATGAGTTAAATGGTCCTGAATTCTTTAAAAATGCGCCACGTAACAGGATTTGCATAGGAAATTCAT